ATTGTTACATTGGTGGTTTCCCTGCCTGACCCTCAGACTCTCTTGATCTGCAACCTTTGATGAGTCTGTGCACTTTGTCACTAGTTTCTTACTGTGCATACCTATCGAATCGGTCTGCAAACACTGGTTAAAACATACAGCTGACATACTTAAACATTTATTGCTTAGCAGGCTTGTGCTGCAAACTTCAGAGGCCCTTTTCTTTAGTTGTGTTAAGACCCCCCCACCCCCCGACTTTTCCAGAGGGAACTCAAGTGAAACAAACAGGTTTGTGCAGTCTGACAGGAAGGGTCCTGTTTAACAATTTATGGTATAGAAGGTTCAATTGGAAAACAATGTTCCCTGAAAACACAAAGGGTGGTTCAAAGTGCAGGGCGAGTGCAGGGTATCCTGTCAGGAAGGACTGGTGTGCATTAAGAGTGAAGACAAATCCTCCAGTTAAAATTCTGAAAAAGCCAAAAATCCAAAACCCAAAAGAGTTACGCAGTTGTTAAATTTGACTTTTAATGCTTTTAGTGGTGTAACTGTACTTAATGCATTTCGGTGACAAGTCACAAGTTCACCCTGTAATTTCTCCATCTTTTAAGATCTTGCAGGATGAGTAAGTTTCTCCTCCACCCTGTGTGTCCTTTAAGGTCAAGAGGCACATAGGGGCGAGAGTGTTACACCCATCAACATGACAGACTCTGTACCTGCCCACACACACCCACACACCAAAGTAGCTTGTGACACACTTAGACACACCTTGTGAGAGCTGCGGGTTGATGTGACAGCAACGGGTCCTTTGATATGTTGTGTGTTGGTGTGAAGGTCCACCTCTCTGTGTTCTCATTCATCCCGGTGAATGCCTTAGTCCCAGTCAAACCAGAGAATCAGCTGCCTCAAAGGCATGTGATTAGCTGGCAGACACACGGTCAGTCTCAGGTTGTTGATGTTTTAATGACAGATGGTGAAAAAAACTTCAAGCATGTGCTGGTGATGATGAAAGCATCATTACATCTGGCTTAGGTGGACGGTGTGAATGACAGGCGTAGACTGAAACCATCTTTTCGTTAAGTATATAAAATTCAAAATCAGATAAACGTGTTGCAATTACAGTGCTTTACCAATATGGGAAGAGAAGGAAGCCTTATGATTACCCTCTGTGTGAGGTTTTATTGCAAACAGGTATCTGCTGATGCTGACGTTCTGTGCCTTTGTCTCATTTATCTCAGTGGAAGACTACACAAAGCGGAAATAGAAGAATCCTCTTTGTTTCAGGTGTCATGTGATTGAAGAAAGAGCAGTGCTAAAATCAGCCCACTCTGATGAAGAGGACACTGATCAAATTATAGCTACTCAAAGGGAGTAGGAGTGAAACTGAGGAGCAGTTTTAAAGTGATTACAGGAAAGCTGTAAACATCATTTTTACAAAGAAAGTTTTTTTTTGTTTTTTGGACCAGATTCCATTAAATTTAACATTTTACACGGTCCTTATGTAACAATCTCACACGGAAAAGTAATCCACTTATATTTAAAGTCAGTATTTTGGGTGTAAATACTTTTTTGAGTGTGGACAGAACATGAAGACTGATCCCTTTCAGTTGATCTGATACAGTTTAGTATCTCATCAAAAAGATAATAAAGATGCATGTAAAAGCATCATTTAATATGCACCATGTATCGGGAATGTGCTTTAACAAACTTTAAGTATCCTTCATGAATAACTTTACTTATTAGCCAGTTTTTATAAGAATGCTAACAGCTATCAAACCATTAAATTGTCCCTGTTATATTTATTGATTTGTCTTAGTGTCAGTGCGTGCAATTTTACATTTTTTTTTTACCTTTTAATAAACAAATAAATGCCTACAACATCACCATGTGTTATACAGGAATCCTTCCTCATGCATGATTTTTATTAAATGATGGTATGCTAATCAATTTAATACCAAAATACATAAGGAAAACATCACGTGGGCAGGTGTATAATGTTAAGAATATTTGCTGTAGAAAAACTCAATAACTGTCGACACCCTAGTTCTTTTAGTCAAGGTTTCCCACAAAACGTTTGGTGGTTAAAACTGGAAAAGTTAAATAAAATCAAACCTATGATGCTGAAAAAGCTTTGGAAGGAGGCAGGTGTTTGTCAGCCTGCAGCAACACAGAATGATGTGATTGTGCATGACCCCACTCAGTCACTTATAGTGAAAATTGTACCAACTTGATACAGTTTTCTTATACTGCTGTTTGATTTTGTTGTTGTATTTAGTCACATGGAACCACTGAAAACGAGGATTTTCCTTCTGTCGGTTTTCCAGTGTTTTAAATAAATAAAATGATTCGAGTCATACGGCATCCCAACAAAGTTTCATAATTCATGTTGGAATTTACTGAAATTCAATTTACTTCCAGACGGTCTGAGAGAAAACTGTGACTCACTCCTGTTGATTAAATCGACATCCTACGTGATTCATAATCTGCTGATACTATATGAGAACTATGATTTCACTGCTGTCATATGACGTACACAGAGCCCAACAGGAGTTCCCTCTTTAGTTTGTATTTGTCGCTTAACAGATTCACCAGCGTGACAACCACAGCAACTCACAATACCATGGCAACATTGCCACATAGCACTTCAGTCCCTATGTGCTTTGCAACTTGGTAGAGCTCTTCAGCTGGCATCGATTTGGCATTTCAAAGATGGTGATGGGACCGCTGTGTTTTATTTCTGCATGTTTCCATGACAGTTATGAGGCCAAGAGGCACTGGCGGGAAAAAAGAAGGCTACAGAAAATGGAGGAGAGAGGGTATGGTAGAGAGGGTTGAATCGGTAATGCCAAGACTCATGACTCATTGTGGCGAGGCACTGAAGGAGGAAATGAATGAGGGAGGAGAAGAACGCAGGGCGGGTATTGGTGGAAAGACTTTTGACACAACATCCTGTCCTGTAGTCTGGTAAAAACATGAAGTTACTGTAGTCGCATTTACACAAACTCCCTCAGGTATCAGCTGTGAATTTGGGAACATGTTTAGAGAGAACAACAAGGCATCCCAACTGTTTAGCTGAGAAGCGTGCACATCATTTAAACAACTGCTAATGTATAACAGCACAGTGTATATATGCATGAATAAACTGTCAAGCACTTGTGTTCATTGTTTTTTAATAGCCTCAGGCTTAGTGGCGTTAACCTGACATACTTCTTGGTGGATTGTATCAAAAGCCTGCTGGTTTGTGCAGTTCACCTGGTTTGCAGATGAAAGTACACAGACCTGTACATGTGATGTGCTAAGGCACAGACTGGGGTTTGCATACAGGTTCCCTGTAGCTGCAGAGGATCTTGAGCCCCGATGAAAATATTAGAACTCTTTCACTCTTGTTTAAAACAAGGTTGGATTTTCAAAAATTAAATTGTCCTGTCTGGTTATCAACTATCTCTATTCGTTTTATTCATAAACTAGCAATAAACTCCGAGGTGCTTTATTTTGTAAGGTAAAGAGGCTACAATGTTAAAGGGAAAACCCGTCATTTACCACAACCAGCTAGGGGACAAGGACAAACCATAAATAAATACAAACTAAGACACATCAAAGTGACTAATCCATTAACCTACACTTTGTTGTTTTGTTTTTTTATAAATCACAGTAAGAGCATGAAACCATTTTTTCTGGACTCTGATGATGAAGTCTGCAGCAGTAGTTATTCAAGAAGCCAGCCTTCCACTATTAATAATACAGAAGCTAAGTTTTTCTCTATTGCTCTGGATATCGTCATAAAAATGTTACTATATTTAAAGTATGCTTTTAAACAATGTATAGTTTTACAAGCTTGATTGAAGTGGGCCAGCTGAAATCGACAAACGGCAGTCATTTACCTTAGCTTGACAAAAGGCCAGGCTAGCCTGTTAGCATGTAAGCTAGATTTCTGTACTAATTAAAATAAATATTAAAAAAGAAAACATTTCCTATTGAAACTAATAAGAGACCCTTTATAAATGGTTAATCACTGGCCTGTTAGTTAATATTTTACTAATGATTTATAGGTTATTTAACAGAGTAAGAATAACTTTCAGTTGTATAAGGAATGCAAGCTAAGATATCCCTAACCGGCTGCTGGCTGTTGCTGGCTAGGTTAAGCGTGGGATCAGTGTAAATCTTTGCTGCTAACTCAAAGTAAGAAAATAAAAAGTTCTAACTCCTACAATGCTGAATAAGAGATAGCAAAACTGCAGGAAGCTAACATTTAAAAAGTTAATTCGTACACAAGTTTTAAACTGCATCCACAACAACTTGTAGTCCAACCTGTTATTTGAATATATGATACTGCAAATTTGCAGTGTCCTGCTGAAATGGGTTTTGGACAGACATCAGAAAGATCTGTACACAGACTTGGTGGAGCTGAATGATCTGTGATGATGTGTTATTTGTGTTGAAGTCACAGAAAGGAGGGTGAAGGAATTCCTTGCAGAATAGACATCCCAGTGCATCCCAGTCTACATTCCATATTCATTGTTTGTTTCATTAAGATGACACCTCCCTTCTTACACATACCAGTTCACAAATGCCTTATCAATGAATTATAACAGATCATCTTTTGTTGTACAGATGTAACTCACGTACATGTGCGAGAACTGCTGAGCTGCTTATCAACCACCCACTCAGGCACCAGCCCCCACACGCTAATGCTGCAGTTTTTGTCATACAAAGCTTCAGCTGGAATACAATCATTATTACTACAAAGCATTTTATTTGTAGTGTGCTTGAATACTTTTACTAGGAAAGAGACAGACTGAGGAGAGAAATATCTCCACATTCCTCAAAAAGAAAAGTTTTTTCTTACAACCCAGAGAAGCCTGTAGAAAGGGCAGGTAATGGTTTTGAATGACTGGACCGTGTGTCATAGAAGTGTAAAGTTACAGCCCAGCCCTCCCTGTCATAGACTTGCAGCCAATGGCATCTAAAGCCTGAAGTCACTGAAGTCCCCTCCCACTGGGGAAAGCTTTAAAACTCTTCAGTAGATTCTCGTCTTTCTATCCACTCTGGTCTCTCCCGACTGCTGGCCTGCCTGACTGCCTGCCTTATTTACCGAGCCACTTGGTCTGACCTACCCAGACTTTTTTCATCCAAAAGAAAAACTACTTCACAATGTCTTACAGGGTGAACACGATGAGTTACAAGAGCTCTTCTGCTCCAAGGAACTTCAGCAGCAGTTCCTATGGTGGATCGGGTATTTCTGCCAGCAAGAGGTACTCTGCCAGGAGTTCCTATGGTGCCCCTAGTCAGTTTGTGGGTGGTGGCATCACCAGGTCCTCTGCCTACAGCGTGAGCTCAGGCATGGGTGGCTCAGGAGCAATGGGCATGGGTTTGGGCTATGGTGGTAGTTTGGGTGGTGGCCAGACCATCACTGCTGTGACTGTGAACAAGAGCCTTCTGGCCCCCCTGAACCTGGAGATTGACCCCAACATCCAAGTTGTCCGCACCCAGGAGAAGGAGCAGATCAAGAGCCTCAACAACCGCTTTGCTTCCTTCATTGACAAGGTAAGAGTTTGTAGTAGTGGTCAGATGAGTGTAGCTCAAAGTTTCAGGCTGTTTTAGTCTTCTCAAGCAGGAGCTACTTTGGTTGCACTGAAAGCTGAAAGCTTGGGCAAAGTGTGCTAAAAATGCTGTATTGTACGTATTTCAGAGCTGTTACACTGTTATGCAACATTCGAGAGGGAGACCCATATGTTCGCCACATGTTCTGTAATGCTGATTTCCTCACTTTTGCTGCATGGGGAAATTTGATTTATTCCTCTCTTTGCTTCCCTCCCACAAATGCTGCAAAAGGCAACTCGGGGTTAGGCTCTCATATCTTTTGGCTCTGGCTGCCCTTTTATAGTGATGAAAAACAGACGTGTAGAATGAGAAACGAAGACAAAGAGAGAGAGAGAGGAGAGAAGAAAAAAGTTCAGGGTGTGTCAGGGCAGAGCTCAGGGCTTGTGATACGAGTTACCTTGGGAATAGTCCCTCCCTTTACTTGGGGTGTGGCTCTCCCTGCTGGCCCCCACCCCTGCCAAATACACACATACAGTCAGTACTGAGTGCTGTTGTTACCTTTGTGACAATGGCGTCTTTCACAGTGACACACTGTATAAAGAATGCCCACCGGGTGTATCAGCACATGAAGTTTTTATCTTTCTAATCAGCAGTGAAGTACATAAAAGTTTGTGTGACACTCAGTAGAGTATTTGTCCTCTGAGCTCTCAGGAGTGGGTTAATATTTAAAAAGGCCAGTTGGTTTCATGTTCTCGCCAGTGCCAGCTGACTGGCTACATATCGACCCTGTTACTCCCAGAGCAATGATTAAGGAAGCTAGAGTGCATTTTGCATGCTTTGACACCGAGCAAACAAACTTCCGCCCACATGTCTTTTATTTCGTGTGCTGTATTTGGAGCCACTTCTGTTATCTGATTTCTCTCCAGCTCTAATGAAGACAACAGGAGGCAGTTAGGCCTCAGCTTTAGAGTGCACTGTCTCATGGTCCAAGGTCCAATGAGTCACATATCTGCTTTCACTGTTTCTCTTTTTAGTATGCAAGTATGCAAACCACACAGCTCTTCACTTTGCCCCATCTAGCTTCATATTCTCTCCATTCAGCACATCCATATTACGCGGTTAAATATTGACCTTTCTTCGTCTGCCTGCCGACAAAACTCAGCTTCGCCCCTTTTTTTATTTGTCGCACAAAAACAGGAAGACATGCGGGAGAATGGTCAGCTAAAGCTGTTCCTCCATCACTGCTTTTTTCCAACCCCCTACCTCCTGTCAGGATGCGAGCATGTCATGCATACCTTCCTTTGGAAAAACACAACAGCCAGTCTGGCAGCAGAGCAGCTTACAAAACATAGACAAGAACAACAAAGACAATAGGTGGCAAATGGCGAGGTTGATGGCCATGTTGATGGTAACTGAATCCTTAGATAAAGCTATTCTATTACATCAGGGTCCCATCGACCGCACGCTCATACTTTACAAGGAAGTTTCATAATAACTCACGTCTAACAACAAGCAAAAATGTAAAAATTACTGCTTGCTTATATTCATCCATAGATGACTGTACACAGTCAGATGCATAACCCTGTCTTTTCTGCCTCTTTCTGTGAACCTCAGGTCCGCTTCCTGGAGCAGCAGAACAAAATGTTGGAGACCAAGTGGAGCCTGCTGCAGGGACAGACCACCACCCGCTCCAACATCGACGCCATGTTCGAGGCTTACATCGCCAACCTTCGCAGACAGCTGGACAGCCTGGGCAACGACAAGATGAAGCTGGAGGCTGACCTGCACAACATGCAGGGCCTGGTGGAAGACTTCAAGAACAAGTGAGTGTGGAGGGAGGGGGTCAGTACGTATGTACTACGTATGTTTTATGTAGGATTCATCTGTTTCCATTCAACTAATATGTGCACAAAAGAAGCCTTACATTTGAGTGAGCTGTACAGACTACTCCCTACATCTGTCCGTTGTTTTGCGTCACACTTACTCGAGGGAATTACAACACTCAGGAAGCATGTTCCAAACACCCATTACATTACGTATGAGTGGAGGTAAAGCTCATGGCTCGTGAGTTGGCTGTCAGCAGACCTGTCTATAGCTTTTACACAAGAGGGAAACAAGCTTGATTGTGTCCATGCTGGCGTGCACATATCTCCATCAGAGGACAGCAGTGCTGCATGCGCTCTTTAGTTGTCTGCAGACAAATGGGGCACATCAGCTGAGGGGTTCCCAAGGGAGAAATATCAGCAACACCTCTTGGCCCAGAGTCAACAAACACTGTGTGAGGCAAATGTCCCAAAGGAGTTCACCAATCAGTTATGGTGGTCTTGCACCACCTAGTGTTACTTTAGTTTAAAAACACTGAAATACAATGAGTTATTTCTGGATTTTCAAAATGGCCTCATAAATACTATTGTCTTTATCCTTTCAGGTATGAAGACGAGATCAACAAGCGCACAGAGTGTGAGAATGACTTTGTCCTGATCAAGAAGGTCAGCACTGTTTTTTTCTTACAGCATTGTAACATCTGCTGGGCCGGGGTGGGGGGGGTCAACTGTTGTTTGAGCCACAGAAATTCAGAAACTAGGATATGTTACATGTCTCATATAGTCTTTCTGTTAAAAGCTTTACCGTTTGGGTGTTCTATAAAAAAAGACTCTAACCCTAGGTGGGTTGGAGTCGATGTTAAGAAGGTACAACTTTTCTTAAATTAGCCTCGTGTTCTAACAAAAGTTTTGCTTTTCATTTCTTTCTTCCAGGATGTCGATGAGGCCTACATGAATAAGGTTGAGCTGGAGGCTAAGCTGGAGAGTTTGACAGATGAGATTAACTTCCTCAGGTCGATCTATGAGGAGGTACGGCACAAAATCAGCGTGACTGCATTGTTTTTCCCTGCTTCCCTTTTGGCTTCAAAACCTCCAACCACTAAACCACTTGCTGCTTTCATCAGCATTTATCTTCCCTGTCATGGCATTCTTATGATGTTTGTGGTATCCTTTTGGAATATGTTTTGCCTTTGCAGCAATCTTGATTTTTTCATCTTTTTAGCATATTTCCTTACAGCACCTCTTTGAGTGTGTTAGTTTTAAGCGTTTCATTCTGGGGTTTACATGACTAATCTTTCACCTCTTCTTCTCTTTCCTTTTTGACTAGGAACTGCGTGAGCTCCAGAGCCAGATCAAGGACACATCAGTCATCGTGGAGATGGACAACAGCCGCAACCTGGACATGGATGCCATTGTTGCAGAGGTTAAGGCACAGTATGAGGATATTGCCAACCGTACCCGTGCTGAGGCAGAGACATGGTATAAGACCAAGGTAACAGACGATTCCTATTACGTTTATCAGGTCGTTCTCATTAGAGACTTTCGGGTTTGTAATATTTTGCTTTATTAATGTTTATTTAGTATGAGGAGATGCAGACATCCGCCAACAGATATGGAGATGACTTGAGGTCTACAAAGACAGAGATCGCAGACCTTAACCGCATGATCCAGAGACTACAGTCAGAGATTGACGCCGTCAAGGGACAGGTATTTTCAGCCACCACACTTAGCCTAGTCAATTTCTGCCAGTTGTTTGGACAAAGTCTTATTCCGTTATCAATCATCTGTTAGCGTGCCAACCTGGAGGCCCAGATTGCTGAGGCAGAGGAGCGTGGCGAGCTGGCTGTGAAGGACGCCAAGGCCCGCATCAAGGACCTGGAAGATGCCCTGCAGAGAGCTAAACAGGACATGGCCCGCCAGATTAGAGAATACCAGGACCTAATGAACGTCAAGCTGGCTTTGGACATTGAGATCGCCACGTACAGAAAACTCCTGGAGGGAGAAGAGGACAGATTGGCAAACGGCATCAAGGCTATCAACATCTCCCAGCAGAGCAGTAAGTTCCCTTCAGTGACATCCTGCAGCACTTGTAGTTTGGATTCTCTCGTAGTTTTCAGGTTTAACAGATTAATTGAACATTTGTAAGTTAAAGTATTGTCTCTCAACAGCAAGCTACAGTGGATTCCCCATGGACAGCATGAAGAGCAGCTACTCGAGCACCTACTCCAGCGGTTTCAGTGGCGGATACGGTAGTGGATACGGTAGTGGATACGGTGGTGGATACAGTAGTGGTGGCTTCAGCAGCAGCAGCGGCAGTGCCGGTGGATACAGCACCCAGACTAAGAAGAATGTTGTGATCAAGATGATTGAGACCAAGGATGGCAAAGTGGTGTCTGAGTCCTCTGAAGTCATTGAGGATTGAGCGGTCTAGTCTAGAGGTGTAGCTGCCTGTCTGCTATGATCTTCTCTGCCTCTATGGTAGTTATATAGTCACAGTTCACCCCCAACCCAATAAACAAGTCTGAAACAAAAGCTTGCCAGCCACTCTTCAGAGCCTTTACATGTTCTTAACAAAGTAATAAATGATTGTAACACTACCAAAGATTTGAAAGGGACCAAAGGATTTTGTTTTGTATGTCTGTTTTCTGACAGTTTGTACTAAAAATAGTTGTTTGTTTAAAAAAGTCCGATAAAACCTGGGCCTACTTCAGCTAGGAATAAAACACAGATGTGTCACGCTCCCTTGAAATCTATGCAACTGCTGTTCCATGCTTAAAGTGCCTTTGCGGTGCATCAAATAGACAGTGGTGTTGTCAGAGGAATGTGAATGTACTGACACAGTGCTCCAGTGTTCATGGTCAAAAAATGTCGTAAAATTGCCTGCTACAGTAGGTAGTGCATGTGTCTCTGTGCGTGCCCTGTAACTGAAACTGTTTGACCCCTTAGGAGGCTGCCCACACCAACCTGTTGTCCTGAGGTGCTGTTTTTGCTACCAATCCAAATAAAAATGTGTTTACTGAAGGTAAAAAGGTGTTTCTTTGTTTTTTAAATAAATAGTGGTCCAGACTGAAAACTAGAAGGAATAGTAGTGATAGTAGAGTCTAAACAGTCTCCCTTGTTTCACTGCCCAACAAGTCACAGTAGATTGTTGCCCCTCCATGAGCCAGAGGTTCATCCTTCCCTTTCTTGCCGGGGACTTGTTCACAGGGGTCGTTGGATTATCGGGTTTTTTTGTATTATTGTGAGGTCTGTACCTTCATCACATTTCACACACCTCATATTCATCAATCAATCAATACCATCCAAATACAGCACTTCACGTCCAGATTAGAGGCTTAGATGTGGGCCTTAGAGATTCCAAAAGAAGATGCAGAGCCTCACATAAATAAACTGGGACAGTAATTACATTTTTTTAAATGTAAGTGCACACCTATGTGGCTTTACTATCATATTGTAACATAGAGTATGCATCATCCTGTCTTTATGTGGTCACAATAGCTTAAAATAGTAAAAATATTTTTTAGGGAAAAAGAATAAAGGTAAGGGTCAAACAAAAACACATAGTATGCATACACATATATGCACAGTTTCTGACTGGAGCTAATATAACACTGCAGATTTATAAATACTTCAGTTACTAAACAGAATACAGTATTTACTAAAAAGCTTTACACAGAACTTTTACTGTGTATAAAAATTGTCTTTGTTGAGCATGGCTAAGCTACAAAGTGTCTGGCCCTTTTTTAGTTGCTTGAAGACGTTTCACTTCTCATCTGAGAAGCTTCTTCAGTTCTAAGGTCAAATGGCCCCAGATTTAAGCCCCATGGGAGCATCCCCCAAGAGGGACATGGGCTCCGTATTGATGCTCTACCTTGTCCTTGACATTGGCGCCCTCAAAAGAGTGACCTTTGTCCTTTAGATGCAAATGGACAGCCGAGTCTTGTCCCTTCGAGGTGGCTCTATGTTGCGCTCTTCTATGTGGTCTCTCTCTCATATGTATATAGTGCTACAGAACTGTGCAGTTCAAAATGTACAAAATGAATATGTATTATTTATGTAAATAAAAAAGACTATGAATATCCTTGGAGTAATTTAAAAGGATCTGTATAGTTGTTTTTATTGAACTTTTAAATACTAATAGTGAATGAAGAAACATAAATAGTATTTATAATAATAGTTTAAATCCAAAAAGTAAGTAGAGATATAGTGTAGTTTACCCAGAATCATAATCATATAACTAAGAATAAGAACTATTTCAGTACTACAGTATACAGTACAGTACAGTATCTTCAGTACTTAAGATACTGTAATAAATCACTTACAAAGTAGCCATTTTGAGATGTCATACAAGGGAAATAATAATTGCACTAATTATGGCTCTACACAGTACCTTCAGTTTCCCCAAAAACATTAACTGCACACAGAAGAATATATTGACTTTTTAAAATTTTTCACAAGGAATGTTTACTGGCCACTTTGTGGCAGTTTAACATGACTGTATTGCAGTAATAATATTGCATTGCAAGTTATTTAATTTAGTTCTAGATGGTTCTATATCTTGGATATGGATATGTTAGTAAGCCAGTTGATATGGGAAGAAAACTTGGACAACAGAAGACTGGAATAAACATTGTCTCTGAAGAGTCTGGATTCCTGCTGCAGCATTCAAATAGTAGAGTCAGAATTCGGCATAAACAACACAAGAGCTGTTTTCAAATATCAATGATAGCTCTAGATAACATAAACAGTGACATTGAATGGAGCTAGAAAACTGATAGAATATCCAGGTGCATGATAATTTCTTAATTATCATGACTGTCATTTCCCCTTGGCTTCTCTCTGTTCTCTGTAACGTGGTTGCATACCACAATAGCCAGCATCATTCCTGTGCTTAACAAAAAAACCCTCCCCAGGGCCGATTGTCTTAGGCACAGCTTTAAAAAGCTGTTTTTCATTTGTTACTTGGACTGGTTAAAAGAAGAAGAACCAGTATCTTTGATAAATTCCAATCTGGCTACTGAAGAAACCACATGATTACTGAAACTACCCCTGATATGCTTAAATGGTAAGAGTACTGCTTGACTCCAGCCTTTCACACCACTGATCATGACATTCTTACTTACTGTATTTGACAAACATTTCAGAATTGATATTAATTGTATTGCCTCATTTGTGCCCATGTATGTGGAGTCCCTCAGGGCTCAAAACCTGGTCTAATTCTGCTTTCTTTATAAGCACCAATCAGGAATAACATTATGATCACCTCCCTAATTTTGTGTTGGTCCCCATTTGTTTTACAAACAGGCCTGAGCCATCAAGGCATGGACTCGAATGGATCCATGAAATATGTGGCACCAAGTTGTTAGAAACACTTGGTGTTTCATCCTTATCTTGCTGATAGAGGCCACAGCCACCAGGGAATACTGTTTCCATGAAAGGATGTACATGGTCTGCAGTAACACTTAAGTAGGTGGTACGTGCCAAAGTAACATCCACATGGGTGGCAGGAACCATGATTTCCCAGCAGAACATAGTGACACTGGTCTTGTTTGGACCCAGTGTTGGTGCTTGCAGAAATGCTGACAGGGGTCATGTAGGCATGTGCAGCCTGACTGGTCTGCAGCTACAGTATGGAGTCCCATATGCAACAAACTGTGATGCCTTGTGTATCTTGACACGTTCTATCAGAATGAGAGATTTGAGCTACAGTAGCTCATCTGTTGAGGCCACATAAGCCAAAGACACACACACACACACACACACACACACACACACACACACACACACACACACACAAACACACTCGCACACACTCGCACACACACCTACACATACACACAGTGGGGCAAAAACATAATTTGAAAATAAATTCTTTAAAAATCAGACAATGTGATTTTCTGGATTTTTTTTCTCATTTTGTCTCTCAAAGTTGAGGTACACCTATGATGAAAATTACAAGCATAAGTGGGAGAACTTGCAATATTGATGGCTGACTAAATAGTTTTTTTGTCTCACCTTATGTATTTGTAGTGACATTTGCCCTCAATATAAGTGAACCAGTGGTCTTTATTTTCTCCAATAGAGTACCAGAGCCTTAATGACTTGACGTCAAGTTCCATTGAACCAACTCTAGTGACACCTGGTGGTCAATAATTTTTTTATTTTCATTTTTTGACTGGTTATATCCATAACCCTGTGTGCTACATTGTAACAGAAGAGAAAAAAAAAGACTAATTGCCAACCTGGTGTACATCGCCTTTCACCTAGTTTTAGCTGGATCCCGAAATGGATACATAGACAAGAAGATGTAGGGGTCATTGCACTACACTCTGCTTTAATCCAGGACAAAAAACACATAACAAAAAAAAAAAAGAATTTTTAACTGCGAGTTGACTTCTATACAGTGACCCTGAGAGGTCATACACATTGCAATTTAAGAATACACCAGCAAACAGTTTATGTGACCTCTCAGGGCCACCATACTTAATTTTTATGTATTTATTTGCATATGATTGCACAAGGCACAAATGTTCTAAAGAAACTAAAGAAAACATACATTAAACAATCTCTAAATGATCTGTGTTGGACCTTGAGGAGTTTACTTCCACAATCAATCAGCTCAAAATATTGGTCCATCATTCTAAATTCTGAAATCTCCCACAGAGAATAATCTAATCAATTATTTTCCAAAAATGTATTATAGCTACATATCAAAGAACCTTATCTGCAGGTGTGTATTCACCGATGCCGATGAAATTTCTCCTTGTGGGACTAATAAAGGTATCTTATCTTATCTTATCTTATCTTATCTTATCTTATCTTATCTTATCTTATCTTATCTTATCTTATCTAATGCTGCCACGAGACCTGACATATAGAACCATGGATGAGTGGGAGTGACTGGTTTGCTCTTCCTATAGAGCTTTTCTAGGCTTATGGAAAACTCAAAGTGCTCATTATTACAGATTGGGTGTTCAGCATCAGGCCTATAGAAACACTCCTGAGCCACAGACCTTACTCCCTTTTTTCCACAAGGTACCACCAGGGGGCAACGTCTCATCACTTATCTTGCCTGCAGGTCACTGAATACTTGAGGAGCAATGAGAGTTGATGCTGGGCGCACCCTGTGTATGTATTTACCGTATATACTGCATACCAGCAGTATATACGGCATACTGCTGGTATGCTGATCAGAACAAAGGAACTAGAATGTGGAACCAAAATGCGAAACATTACAGATCCTTCTTGTTCTGCTCTCCTGCACAGTATGTTCTCTTTAGAGTTAAATAATATCAAAATACAGTCCAAGCAATAGCAGCTTAGTTGTGAAAACATTCCATAGTTGTGGAAAAAACAAAGTAGATTTTTCAAATGTGCCACCAAGCACGCTCATAATGCCAAATGCTATACAGTGAGTTTAGCATTAGTAAGTTACAATTACATTACAAGCTTTTACACCAAATGTACCACACAAGAGATGCAACATAGATGTCAAACCATGCATGTTAAAGCTGCATGTCAGGCTTAAGCTGCATTTTGAGGTTATCTCTCTTTTGCTGTCCAGACTCAGAGAATGGCACAACAGTGAGACACAAATCTGTGTCCATGCGTGTGTGTGTGTGCACGTGTGTGTGTGTGTGTGTGTGTGTG